CACCATGGATCTCGACGATAACGAAGGTCGCAGCAAGGCAGAAACTACGAAAAAGGGAGCCAAGGCGCGCAAGACGGCGGCCGACGCTGCCTCTGGTGCGGGCCCGGGCGTTACGACCAATGGCGCAACCAATGGCACAGCACCTCAGCCTAAGCGACGCAAGGTCGAGAAGCCGGCAGCCGCGACCGCGCCGGCAGATCGGGCCTTGGCTGGTGTGTTCGGGACGGATGCGCCCAAGACCAAAACCTCAAGCCCCAGGGGTACGCCGGCGCCCGAAGGACCCAAGAAGAGAAAGGCGCTGCCGAGTGGTAGCGGTCAGGCAAAGAAGAGGTTCGTTCTATCTATCTGCTCACTCTTGGTTATATCCGCACACTGACACTTTTCGTCGCAGCAGGAACGGTGTCACAGGCAACCCAACTTCAGCTACATCATCACCAGTCATTGGAGCGTTTCCAGACGCCAAGCTACCTCGTGGCTCACCAGTCCCTTTTGCCTGTCAAGGCCCCGGGTCGCCGCCCGCGCAAGACAAAACTCTATACAATCAACAGCAGATGCCAATAAGCTAAGACCATCATCCTCTGCGTCTAATAAACCAAACGGCATAACCCAGGGCACGCCAGACCTCCCACTAACGCCCAATTGGCCGCGGCCGGGGGGTGCCTGAACCCAAGCCAACAAAGGAGACGACGACTGCGCCAGCCAAGCCCCGACACGGTCATGAAAGACGCCGAGCCCGTCGAGCCTCTGTCGGTTGCGAGCACCCCCCGCCACGAGCAGGAAGGAACTGCCCACAGTACCCAAACAAGAGGAGATGGACCGCAAGAGCGAGCCTGTGCCGCAGACAGCCACCGCGGCCACCGTGACCAAGAGCGGCCGCGCCAGCAAACCATCGACACCAGCGTTGCCGAACTTTCCCGACGCCGTCGTGCGCTCGCGTACGTCGCGCAACGCGGACGGCAAGGACGCAGGCAAGCGCAAGAAGAGCACCTCGACTACGGCGGTGCAGGCGGCGCAGACAGCGCGTTCCATAGAGGAGGGTGCCAGGAACGGGAGCGGTGGCGTCGGTCTCGGTGCTACCGCCGCACCGGGCGAGGAAGAGGAGGGCGACATTGACGCGGACGAGCCTCGATACTGCTACTGCAACAGCGTGAGCTACGGCGAGATGGTGGCGTGCGACGCCGACACGTGTGAGCGCGAGTGGTTCCATCTCGAGTGCGTGGGGTTGAAGGTGGCACCCAAGGGAAACGGTGAGTACTCTTTTCCCCAGTCCTGCGCCACTGATGACCTGCATCTGCCTCCTGGCAGTGTGGCTGCGTTTCATTCCCCGCATGACGCGATTGCTAACATTTTTCGACAGCGAAATGGTTCTGCGAGCCGTGCAAGAAGCGTCTGACTGCCGCGGGCAAGAAGGTCAATGGCAGATAGAGCCTGTGAATCTGGCGTACACAGGAGAGTTATCCGACGACGAACCCAGGCACATTCCACGGACAAGCATTCATCAAGTACCGTTATCGCTACTACCACCATCATCGTCATCACCGGTATGACATGTTTCCCCTCATACGACGTTGTCTAGTGCTTTTTTCTTTTCTATCGTTTTCGTCTTGTTCTCCTTGGGCGTTGGGAAAAAACATTCCTTGGACTTGGACGGGGAAGAGGAGGCATCCTCCTCCTCCACCGCATATCATACCAGGCGTTAAGGTTATGCGAATGTGAGCACGTTGCGGCGGCGACGGTGGGGAAATCCCAACATGACCCAGAAGGGGGTAGCATTCGGAATTATTTTTTTTGGGTTGTACGTGAAGTCAGTCAGACAGGAGACAAGTGACGACGAACCTGTCGTGTGGGCCCAAATGGTCCGGGTCTCACGGGATGACTTGAGGTGTACGTTGCGTGTGCAAAACAAGACATATATAACAAGGAGCCAAAAATGCAAAGAAAGGGACGTCATCGTGGGGCCCATCAACTACCTACACGGCATAGCCCTTGAACACGATAACCGCGTGACTGTGAGGACCAAGTGACCCTGACCTGTTGATGTTGGTCTGCCGTGGCTCCTTTTTGGATGTCTTGTTTAGGAGTCCGTGGTGGGGGGGGGGTTTTTTCTTCTCAGGGGGGGAAGAGGGGTGGTCATGTGAGCGTGCATCGTGGGCGGAGCGGAAGGGAGAAAAAGGGAGCGCGAGCGTTCGGTCATTTGGCGAAAGCTGAGTCCCACCCCGGCCGAGCGCAGCGGTGTTGGTTCGGAATCCCAGGGTTCGTATAGGGAGGGGGCGAGTTCTAGACTCGGGGCGGCGGACAGGGGCACGATGAGGGCCATGCATATAACGCTTTAGGGGTTTATCCAGCTAAGGTAGGTACCTGCCTAAAGTTTACCGTCGGCCAGCGACCTTTGGTTACCTTACCTAGGTAGGTAGTTAAGCTGGAAAGACATCCAGCGAGCAACAGCAGAAGCACAGAGCAAGCGGTCCTCTCTCTCTCTTGCACCGGGTTCCAGTGGCTAGGTGGTGGGTGTGTGTTTCGGGGAATGCGAAGAAGGGGTGGGGGGGGGGCGTGAACAGATCATTTTCTGGGGTAATTGGTGCGAACCGGCCGGACGGCGGCAGGCGGCAGGCGGCAGATGCGGACAGGAGCATCTCCGGGCGGCGGTGGCATAGGATGGGCCTACCTAGGAAGCTAGCTGGCAGGCAGCCAGGCCCCGTGGTTACTTGCGCCTCATCTCGCCTCGGAGCGCATCGCATCATGTCACAGCGCCTGGGGAATAGAACGAGGGTTGGGGTGGGAAAGGGGAAATGCTGGTTCAGCTGACCTCAAGACGGCGCTCATTGGGCCAAACATGACGGGGGATGCAATGCATTGACGAACTGACGGGGTGGCTCTCGAGGAAACGGTGAGTTGGGAGAGACAATCCCGAAACTGCATCGTCGCATCGAAGGTCCCTGTGCTGTGCTGTGTTGTGTTGTATTGTGATGTGTGTGCATGGGTGTGTGTATGTAAAATATTCCGGCTGGGTGGACGCGAGGCCCAGTCAGTGTTAGCGAGCGGTGCTGCGGCGGCTGGCCTCGGTTCATCAGACTTTTTTTGGGGGGTTCTTGGTGTTGAGAAGACGATGGATGGCTGGATGGTTGGATGACAAGGGTTGGTGTTCTTTTTTTCTTTCTTCCTTCGCGCCGACTTTTTTTTTTTCTTCACCTTGCAGTCGCTTCCCCACAAATGGAAGAGGTCCCCGTCCCCCTGCTGCTGGGCCACGAGGGCGTCCCGCTAGAAGGGCTCGGATCGGACTTGGGCGGTCTCTGTTTCGCACAGGGAGCCAGCAGCCGCAAGGTTCTAGCATGGGTTCGTGTTAGTCAGAGGAGAGAGAGAGAGCGAAAGAGCGCGAGAGAAGGCTCCCTGGTCTGGCCCTCGCCTCGCAGCGAGCGATCAGGTGGTGCGTACAGGCAGGTACACTGACTGCAGTTGCAGTGCTGGCGTTGTCATCCCCCTTGACGTACGTGTCCTTGGCAGCTTACCTGAGCAAGCTGTTGATCTCGACCGTTTGCAGTCCACGGTCACCGCGGTCGCATCACCACAGCATGGCTGTTGAATGAAGCACTGGCAAGGGACATGGCCAACTCGCAACGGCCATCCTGCCGATCAAGCCAGCCGTCCCCTCACGCCAGGCCTCGTCATGTGGCAGAAGAGACGGCTCTCTGTCGTGTCGCACGGGGCCAGCTCCAAGCAGCGCCTGGCACTCGAGCCCAAGCAGTTTCCATTAGTCGTAGCCTGCATCAATTACGTTTGCGAAACACCACCTCTTCACCTCACATGATCAACCAACGCGCAGGCGCTGTGCCCTGTCTGGCAAGTCGTCTATTCGTGCTTGGCGCCGTTCCATTGACTTGTCCAAAGGGATGCACAAGAAGGAATAATGCTGCCGTGCCGTCAGTCGGACTCGTCGTGAAATTATGCAGCCGAAAGACACGTCAAGTGCCGTTGTCGGCCGTGGCTGGGGCGATCCGACGACGGAGAGACATGTTGAGGATATCCGAGTGTTCGCGGAGTTACGAGCAGGGGGGACTTTGCTGGTTGTCTTGGTCACGATGTTCTGGAGCTCGGACGCTGAAGGTGATGCGGTGGTGAGGTTGGGTAGGTAGCTCGGTACAGGCTAGATGAGGTGAGGCGAGGTGGCCGTTCCTGGCCTGGGCCTCTTCCGCCCGCCTCAGCGAGAAGGGGACGCCACAGCAAGACAAGGCAGCCCCGTGCTGGGAGGGTGAGGTGACATGACAGCACTGTGCCATTCTGACAGCGATGATGCCATCAGTGGACTCTTCAGCACCCGGCGCCTGCTGGACGTACCGTGGGTTTTGCCTTGCCTTGCTGAACTGCAACGCTGGCTGCACTGCAGAGACCCCAAGTCGCCGATACCTTCTCCCCACTTGAGCAGCATCGCAATTCCCATTACCCAACGCGAAACTCGCAGCATCGCAACATCGCAACGTCGCGACACGACACCCCTCCCCTTGGACTGCACGACTGTCGCCATTCATGTCAAGGGTGGTGAGACCGGCAATTTGCTCGCGCGCTGGCCCGGTTCAAACAAGTGTCTGGTCATCTCGATGGCTGGAGTCAATGCCAAGAAGGCTCATGTGACCATGATCGAGTGGCCATCCCTTGGTTTCCATTACCCAATTTTTGCCAAAGAGAAACTCCAGCGTCTCCAGCGCCGGCCCTCTCCTGGTGGTGTCAATATGCGGGCCGGTGAAAGAGTCTCCTCTGTGCACCCTGACGGCGTTGTTTTCGCACACAGGTCAGCTTTGACCTCTCACACAGGGCCATCAGTGGCACACCCACCCTTGTTCCATGGAGATCCGGTCAGTCAGTCAGTCAGTCATTGTGCCTGATCAACTGACGACCAACTGTGAGGCGACTTGCCATTCTCGTCTAGTACTTGATCCCATTTACACAGGATCTCTCGGATGAGTCGAAGCACCTGTAACAGAGAAAAAAAAATCCCAGTTCGACAAGCCTTCCAAGACCTTACCGACATTGACTTTTTGGCCCTGACAAGACGTGGTCCTCTCCCCATCCCCATCCTTTGATTCATTCTACCCTCCATCCCCGGCCGAGCTTTCCACATACCACAACCCTGTTTGGTCCCCTTCTGCTTTGCCCCCGCCCATCTCCTGCATTCCTCCGAGCTGGGTACCGACCTAGCTTTGCCTGCCCGCCTGTCTACCTACTCGACTACTACTTAGTCCGCCTGTCGCCTCCCGCACCATCTGGTTTGCTCAACGGTTGCGTCAAGCACGTCTCTGACTTACCTTTAACCCGACTTGCCCGTCTCGTCACACTCGAAATCTCGTGTCACCTACCCGGCCAGAAGAGGCTCCTTCTCCTCTTCCTCCACCACCACCACCACCACCGTCACCTCCACCTCACTACTATCCGTGTCTTCAGGAATTCCTTTGACACCAACAAACCTCCTTTCCCGCAGCACGACCTCTTCCTCTTACCTAAAAGGTCGGCCGACTCGGACGAATAGCAAAAGCTTCCTGCTTTCGATCTCCATCTCGGTCTACTCTGCTCTTTCCTCTCTCTCCGCCTCTCTCTCTCTCTCCCTCCTCTCTCACGCTCACACCCCGTACCACGCCCCGACTGCCACCCCCCAGGCCCAGCATGACCACCGCGTCGGCTTCTCAGAGCCACGCCCCCTCCGCAGGCCACGCTCGACCCCTCCAGCAGAAGCCTCAACCTAAATACAAAATGGATGTCGATCGCCCAGAGCTCCTCCGCCGTCCTTCGACTCCGGACCAGCACGGACGCTCCTCCTTTTCCTCTATTCGTGAAGACAGCTGTGGTCCAGCCCAGACCTTCACATCCTCCAAGGTCTCGTCTTACGCCACTGCTCACGAGAACGCCATCCTTGACGATTCGCCAACTCCCTCGCCGCCCGCCATCGATATGGCTGAGGTTCAGTTCCTACCACCCGTCACCTTGCCCAACAGCAGGCTGCATGGCAACTGGTTCCCCGCCAACAACTTCAAGGGATGGAAGCAAATCAATGTCAAGGGGAAGACGGCGAGCCGCAGCTTCGGTGATCTCCAAGCCCTGCACATGGCATGGAGCACCCCGCCAGCACCGTCTAAGGGAAAGAGCAAGTTTAGTCTCGGTAGCGCGCCCATTGAGAAGCTACCTCTCGAGCTGCTCGGTATGTTCTGCGATTTTTGTTCCCCGGGCTTCGCTGCCGTCCTTCCCTTGCACGTGTGCTGACCACCGCAGGCTCCATCATTGAGCTCCTCGTGCTCGATGTGCCCCCGCCAAACGGCGTCACCCGCCGCAATGTCGATCTCATGTCTCTGCTGTTGACCTCCAGGACCATGCACGGCGCGACCCTCAATGCTCTCTATAGGAACATCACCATCCCCCACTCGAGAATCTTCCGCAAGTTCCTCGCCAACACCACCGAACACCCGTCCCTCGGCACCATTACCCGACGACTTGACTTTAGCC